AAATGGGGGAAAAAGAGGGTCATATGTAATACTTTCAACAATAAAGAATTTTTTAAAAGAATGATTATATAATAATTAAGTAAAGCAGAGATAAATTAAGGGTCCAGGAATGGCTGAAGTCCCAAGCCCATCCTTGGCACCCCCACTCTCCATCCCAGAGGCAGAACACAGGCTGGATATTGAAGCAGCCTGTACTGAGTGCCTCCTAGTTGCCTGGTCCTGTGCCATATATTTCTTTAAATCTCTTTATTGATTAAGGTATTACATATGTGTCCTTATCCCACCATAACCCCCTGTGCCATATTTTTATGTCTATCTGCTCATTACCATTCCTCCAGTGAAATCAGTTATACTCGTCTTGTTTTCCAGGTGGGGAAACTGAACCTTAGGGAATTCCTATATAATAAAAGCCTAATATGTTAAGTGTCTGGTCACCCAGTTGGCCATTCGACCAATCAAAGCATAATATGCTAATGATATGCTAAGGCCACTCAATCACTCGCTATGATGTGCACTGACCACCAGAGGGCAGAGGCTCAATGCAGGAGCTGCCCCTTGGTGGTCAGTGCGCTCCCACAGGGGGAGCACTGCTCAGCCAGAAGCCCTGAGCTGGACTCATGGCTGGGGATCACAGTGGCGGTGGCAAGAGCCTCTCCTGCCTCCGTGGCAGTGCTAAGGATGTCTGACTGAGGGCTCCCCTGAGGGCTTCTGAACTGCAAGAGGGTGCAGGCCAGGCTAAGGGACCCCACCCCCCAAGTGCATGGGCCTCTAGTCTATCTATAATAATAAAAGTATAGTATGCTAATTAGACCAGATGTCCTTCCAGACGAAGCTGCAGTGGCAGGGGCTGAGCCTCTTGCACGAATTTCATGCACTGGGGCTCTAGTGTGTATATTTATAAAAGCCTAAGCCACCAGCTGACCGGCTATGATGCACACTGACCACCAGGGGGCAGACACTCAAAGCAGGAGGGGAAACCACAGGCATGGAAACATGGAGCAGATGGATGAATCTCAGAGGGAAGGAGGGAGGGAGGGGGGAGGGGGGAAGAGATGAACCAAATATCTTATATGCAAACTAGAGGCCCATAGTGGGGTCCCTCAGCCTGGCTTGCACCCTCTCAGAATCCGGGACCCCTCTGGGGATGTCGGAGAGCCGGTTTCTGCCGGATCCCGGCAGGCCAGGCCAAGGACCTCTAGTGACAGCAATAATAGTCTCTCATTCATCCTACAAGTATTTGCTGAGCATCATCCGCTACCTGCTCAAGCACTCTTTAGGCACCAGAGACACAGAAATGAACCAAAACAAAGTTTATGGTTTCATAGAGCCAATATTCTAGCAGAACAGACAGATGGTAAGCAAATAGACATAGAATATAGCAGGGTGATGGAGAAGAAGCCAGCAGAGTAAGGGGATAGAGTGACAGGACTTGCTATTTTAAACTGGCTGGTCAGGGAAGGTCTCATTAAGTGGTGATATTGGAGCAGAGGCCAGGGTGAAGGGAGGCAGGGAGTCATGTGAGCATGTGGAGGAAAGGAGATGCGGGCAGGGGGATTGGCAAACGCAATGTCTCTGAGAAGGGAGCATGCCTGGTATGTGTAGCAGAAAATCTTTATGCCAGAATTCAAGTATATGAGGAGAGAGGGATAGGTGGGGTCAGAGGGGTGGAAGGGGCTGGACTATAAGCCGTGATGAGAACTTTGACTTTTACTCTGAGATGGGAGCCATGGGAAGGTTTCATGTGGGGGAATGATATTGTTGATAAAGGATCACTGACTTAAAAAAAGGCGGGGGGGGGGGATTACTGACTTCAGTTATAAAAGGATGACCTTTTTAGTAATAATAATTACAATGGCACAGGTTGGGTTCCCCAGGTACAGGGTGGGCTGCGCTGAATTACGGGTACTGTTCGCTTCTAAGCCTCAGTTTCCCCGGCCATAAAATGCAGGGACAGAAATTGATGACTTCTAGTGGCTGAGCGGAATGGGGACAGAATTTCTGTATCCCCAGCACCTAGGACAGTGCCTGGGACTCAGTAGGCGCTCCAATATTTGAATTATCCTGGTGTTCGTAAGTCGCTGAAGTTCCATAAAAGAACAGCAGGTGTCGCCCCAGCCCCACAGCCGCCTGCCGGAGGCTCCCCGGTTTGCTTCCATCAGACCCCAGCAGAAACCCACTCACTCGAATTCGGATTTTTCAGGAAAGGGACTTCCGAAGGCCAAATTACGAGTCTCTTCTCTTGAAAAACGGATTTCTCACTTGGAAAAAAAAAGGGGGGCACTGGCCCTTTAACAACTATGGAGCGTGGGCCACGTCCTCGGGAACCGTTTCCCAGAATGCGCCGCGATATGCAAATAAACAGTTTCCAAAGGGAAGATGGTGCTTATCATGTGAGGCAAAGATAATATTTTGGAAGTCTATCAGCCACAATAAATAAATGGCAGGAACTTTTAGTTATTGAAGTAAACAATCCCATAACCTTCCAAACTACACAACCATAACCGTAAAGAGATAGGAGTTGTTGTGCTTTATATAGCTGGGCACGGATAGAAGTGTCTCGCCCGGATGAACCTCAGTGGTCTGGGGTGCAGGCTTCAAACCTGTAGCTGTCTAGCGACAGAGTGGTTCAATTCCACCTTTCGGGCGACACGTTTTCCTCTTTTTTCCTTTCCCCAAAATGGACTTGAGCGTGCGGATTGGCGCCAGCACCTGGAGAGGTCGCTGCAAGCCTCTGCATCACCGCGCATCCTAAGCGTCGCGGGTCTCTTCCGGTGGTTACATCTTTCCCGCGAATTTCAAAGACGGAGAAAAACTCATCTACCCTCTCGGTGCTAGGATATTTGGTTTCAGAATTATATTGGATTTCTCCCTGTCGCTTACCCACTCAGTCATTTGTGCTCACGCGTGCACTTTATTAACCAGTGAAATATGTACTCATTTTTATTCATTCATTCATTCATTCATTCATTCATTCACTTATTCATCAAGGCTGTGTTCCATGCCTGGCCCTGTACTGGGCGGTGCTGGGCACACGATGGTGACGACGGCCCCGGCCCTGGCCTCATGGTACTCCCAGACCAGTGGAGAAGGCAAACATTGAACAATCATTAATTGCACTTTTGATGAACAACTAGAAAGGTGGTGACTACTAAGAAGGAAAGTACAAAGTAGATGAGACATCTATTACGGAGAGCTGACGTAGGCGGGGTCGCAGGGTAATGTTTGAGCAGAACCTGAGGATGAGAAGGATTAGCCAGCAGCGGGGGTGGGGGTGGGGGTTAAGATATTCCTGGTGGGAGTCAGGGTGGCCCCAATAATGACCATGACGATGGGGACGGTGGTAATTGCTGTCACAGGAGCTCACTGACTCCTCACTGATAGATCCTCCCTTCCCCCAACTGGTGGGCGGAGTATGCACTCACTACCGGCCCATTATGCAGCAGGAGAAACAGGTTCAGAGAGATGAAGTTTCTTGCCCAAGGTCACCCAGCTTTGGCAGCCTCCCGTCCAGCTCGCAGACCCCGGGGACCATGCTATTGACCACTTCTCTGTACCGTCTTTTGCAAGCCAGCTCCTCACCAAGTCCTGTTTCCTCTACCTCTTCAACTGCTTTTAGATCCTTCGCCTCCCCTTTCTCCCCCACAGCCTTGGCCCTGTTCCAAGACTCCCTCCCACTCCAGTGCCCCACCCTGGCATCCTCCCCGGTCCCCTGCCCGACTCTTGCCCCTTTCTCCCCCAGCTACCGTTCTCCTGAAAGGCTAAGAGAAGTCTTCCTAAAGCATAAAACTGTCCCCCCCTTCTTGTGCCCCAAACCTGCCCTGGCTCTAAAGTCTCCGTCCGGAATTGATGTCTGCGGGATATGGTCCCTGCTAACCTGTTTCTCTGTACCTGTTGTCCCAGCTACTGTGACCCTCCAGCTTCCTCAGAGTAAGTATCAAGCCCTCTCTCCACCAACAGCTCTCTGTACTCACTGCCCGGGTCAGCCCCAGTCTTTTCCTATTTATTCCCTTCTATACCCCCTATGGATCCTCTGGGACTCAGCCTAGCTGTCCCCTTCTCCGAGAAGTCTTTCTTGACTCCCAGACCAGATTAGAAGCCCCCGCTGGGCTCCCCCAGGCTCACGGACTCTCCCAATCCTGTTCACTTTGGACCATCCCTGACTGTGTACCCCACTGGACCCTGAACCCTATTCTAGGAGAGGAGAGCCTGGCCTGTCTCAGTCCCTGCAGGGTCTCCAACACCGCACAGCACAGGGCTGGCTACATGGCAGGTGCTTAGCAAAACTGTAAAAAGTAACTAATAAAATCCGTGACAACTTTCTCTGCTTGTCCCTTTAAGTTACTGGGCATCCGGATGACCCCTGGAGCATCACTCCCATTCCCCGAGTGCTTGCAGCTCTGCCAATAAGTGAGGGCTTGGGTTTTGTAACGGGGAAGGCTCAGCTGTATCTTTTGGCAAAGTGACAATGTTTCCTCTCTAGTCAGTCGTGGGTTGACCCTGATAGGTTGCTCATAAGCCAGAAGTAGTCACGCGAAAAGCAAAAGGAAACTCATCTTCATATTTTTCATCATCTATATTTTTGTAGTGCTTATGACTTCCGAAGGCCAACTTAAATGTTCTTCCAGAATCAGGGTGTCTGCTTCAAGCTGCTCTACTTGTGCCATTTTTTGCTCAGAGCACCCCCAGAGCAGACAGGGTCCCACATATTCCTTCCTCATAAGGAAACCTCCCTGGCTCTTTAGTACCACACACTTGACAGCTAATATTCGGCTTATTTTTTTTTTTTTTTCTCTAGCAGGAGGCACAACCTGTGTGTGGGAAGTCCTCTTGACTATCTACCCTCCCTCCATCCTGCTGTAGGCTGATTCACTAGCAGGAGTTCTGTGTGTGTGTGTGTGTGTGTGTGTGTGTGTAGTCCCCGCAGCAATCTACCTTCACTCCCTCGTGTTGAAAGGAAGGCAGGTGATGGGTGTCAGGAGAAAATAGATCCCGAGGCTTGGTGGATGCATCTTTAAGAGCTTTTTTATTGGCGACAGTGCAGAACCATGTGGGGGAGGGTAGTGGCCCAGGGCCAGCCAGTCCCAGCCCCCTGGGGTCAGGTGCAAAATACAAAAAGAGAATCACAAATACAGAATGGGGTGGGGGAGTCAATAAATCATGGCCGGCAGGGGCAGGCCCTGCTCGCAATCTCACACTGGCACCCGGAATTCTCAACGATACAGACTATGAAAGCCTATGATCCCTCAGGCTTACTCACAAAAATAAAATCTCATGTCCCCAGCGAACCCACAGTCAGAAGGCAGCTGGCCGATCAGGGACGGTCAGAGAGGAGATGGGTGGAAATGGTCAGAGACACACAGGCTGGGAAGAGACAGAGGGGGAGAGACACGGGAGAGAGACAGCCAGAGGCTGCCAGGAACAACCAGAGGGGCTGAGCCGCTCAGAAAGGACGCAGCTAGAGACAGGCTGCCTCCAGATTTTCCAGAAGCAGCGTTTCCAATTCGAGGGCATGGCTTTGGGGGCCAAAGTGACCTAGGTTGAGGTTGCAGAAGCGCTCACACGCGCGCGCGCACACACACACCCATATATAATATATTTATTTATACATAATAGATATAAGTGCCTTTCGGAAACCAGGAAAGGGATAAATAGCTATGGGAGGGGTCTGGGAGGCGCAGGACGGGGCACGTGGAATGTTCTCCATGCAGCACGAGGGTGGCCTGGCCCACCCGATTTTTAAAAATATCAGTTTTTGCTTCACAATAAAATTCTCATGAGGTGAAGCACAAGGAAAAGGTGGGGTGGGGTCGGGGGGAGCCAAAACCAAGATTTGGGACTGGGGGGATGGGGAGAGGAAGCTGGGCTCACGGGAGCCCGGCCCCTTCCAGTTCACCAGTCCAAAAATATTGGGGGGATGGGGACCAAAGCCTCAGCCTTTAAATCTTTTCCGGGAAAATAATGGGGTTCCCCCCTGGCAACCTCCTTTTCTAGGTAAGATGTGGGGGTGCCCAGGGGGGAGAGAAATTGGCGTCCTAGGCCGGGGTAGGGTGACAGGCTTTGGAGAAAAAGGCCGCATCTCGGGGGGCTGGGGGTCCTGAGGAGAGAGGCGGAGGGGTCACCCCTCTCGAATCTGTCACCCCCTTGAGTCTAACTCACTGCCGAGGGGAGGAAGGAGGCAGGCAGCGGGGAGAGAAACCAAGAAGAGGCTTCGGGGAGCGGGGCGCACAATCCCCCCGGAAGGGCTCGGTCCCACCCGACTCCCCTCGCCACCCTTCCCCCCACAACAGGCCAGCTCATTTCACAGTATAAACACTCCAGCAGGACAGGCATCACAGCGCCCCCTGCTGCCCGGATCAGAGAGGCCCAACCAGGAAGGCCAGGAGGGGAGGCCGACGGGGCGCGGCCGGGAATAACACTGTCATCGGACACGGGGCGGGGGGGCTGAGCGCGGGGCACCCCGGGGGGTGAGAAATCCAATCCGAGGTGGTGTCGCCGGGAGGGGGCGGCTGGACGGCCGGGGAGGGAGGCTCACATTGCAGACTGAGTCTGGGTCGGGGGAAGGCGGTCCCCCTCGGGGAACACCAACTTCCCTCCAAAGGGGGCTCAATTCAGAGGAGGAGCTGACCCAGGGGCAGGCGGATCACTCAGCTCAGGGCGGGCAGCAGGGAGGACCAGCCTGATCGCTCCCTGAGGGCGGGCCTGGGGACACCGGGGAGGGGCCTGGGGCGCGTCCTAGTTGGGCCTCTCCACCCGCCAGCCCGGCCCACGCCGGCACCCCTCCCCCTCCAGCCCGCAGGCGGGCATCACCCCCACCCCCTCAGCCCCAGAGACTGGGTTGAAGTGAGACGACCAACAGGCAGCTGGGGATGGACACCCCCATCCCCTCCCCACCCCCTGCCCCCAAAGTCACCAGCTTCCTGGCCTCGCGGGGCCACCGGCACCAGAGGCAGCGCCAAACCCAGGAGGCCCTCCTGTCCGGTGCGGTGCGGTGCGGGGGCTGCAGAGTCCGGCAGGAGAGGCGGGGGAGCCACGCACCCGCTCAGCCTCGTCCCCCCTCTCCCCTCCTCCTCCTCCTCCTCTTGCAAGTCTCCCCCGTGTGTTTGTCTGTTTTGAGTCTCAAGAGTTCACAGAGCGAGAAGGGAGGGCGAGTTCAGGGGGTCGGAAGGCTGGTCGCTGCCGCTGGTGCGATGGGCGCTGGCGAACGCGGACACCTCCGGGCAGGTGAGGACAAACGAAGAAGTGTACGAAGGGTTAACAACAGGGAAGGGGTCGCCGAGGACTTGGACTTCACTGTGTGTAAAGAGAGAAGCTGTCAGGTTGGGGGGTGCGTCCTGGCCGGTCTGGAAGGGCAGGGGCGGTGGTGGCGGGGGCGGCAGCAGCCAGCCGAAACCATCTTCCTTAGCGGGCGCTGGCCCCGGCAAATCTCTCACCTCCGCCAGCGGGCCGGGGCCCGGCCCCTCTTCGTAGGGGATCTTGCAGCCCGGTTTGTGGGCCACCAGCACAAACTCCAGGCGCTCCTTCTCCTTTTGGAGCTCGGCGATCTCTGACTCCAGCTCCGCCTTTTCCTCCTCCAGCTGATCTGTCTCCTGAGCCCCGGAGGCCGGTCGTGCAGAAGAGGGAGGAAGGAGAAGAGAAAGACCATGAGCCACAGAGAAGGAGGGTGGTGGCTGGAGCTGTGAAGTCCTGTCCCTTGGACTTGCTGCCGCGAGGCCCAGGGCTGGAAGGCAGCTCTGGCTGAGAGGACAGGCCCCCTGAGGTGGGGGTCCTGGTGCTGTGGAACCCGGGGCCAGGGGCTTTTGCCTTTTAGGAGCCTCAGTTTCCCCATCGGCCCAGTGGGTGGTGGGGAAGCGGCCAGGCGCACATGGGGGTGTCTGGTTTGTTGAGTGAATGAACGGTGGTTATGTTTGTCTTGCTACCTCTGTTGGCCAGTCTCCTCTGTCCCCCCAGAAACAGACAGGCTCTCCCCGGTTCCTCTAGGAGCAGCAGGTCACACTGCCAGCCCAAAGCAGGACACTCTCCGGTCGAGGGAGGACGTTACAGGGGAGGGGGACTGCTGGATGTCACCTGCCCACAGTCTAGGAGCTATGCGGGGCTGGGGTGGGTAGTGGGGCATTGACATTGGACAGGGGGAGTTCAATTCCCAGACTCTCTGAGATGTTAAAGCTAGAAGGGACCTGGGGGATCTGATGAGGGGTGGAAGAGATGGAGAAACTGAGGCAAAACTTGGGTTATTGCTTGCCCAAGACCAAAGGGGAGGGACGCCTGCAGCTCCCTCTATGCAAGTTCCATCATATGCCACCTTGGCAAGAAGTGAAGGCCAGGAGAGTGGTGTGTGTGGGGGCGGGGGTGGGGGGCATAGACTGGGGTGAGTGGCCAGGGGTTGACCTGAGTATGTGAGGGTCTGGGTGTGTGCACAGGGGGCCCCTATCTGGCCTCCCCTGGACCTAGTTTCATATGTGGAAGCTCTGGTTCTCAGCCCAGGATAAGGGCACAGGTGGGGGTGACAGAGGGTGGGGAAAGAGCCCCCCTTCAGCGTACCCTCACCCCCCCCCCCAATCAGGGGCCATCCTCACCGCCTGGAGTCGGTCGGTCAGCTCCCTCCGACGGTTCCTGCATTTAGCTGCTGCCAGTTTGTTCCTTTCCCGGCGCACCCTTCGCTTCTCCTCCTCCTCGGGGGTAAGCTGAGTAGGGGAGATAAAGGTCATGAGATTTGGGAACATGGTGCACCTCGCCCGCCCACCCTGCACCTCCTCTGCTTCCAGAACCCCCAGGAGCCAGCACAGCACCCGCCGGTCCTCGCCAGCTGTGACAAGGACTCTGGGGTTCCTGCAGCACTGAGGCCTCGGTGGCCCCTCACCCCAATATGAGAAAGTTCCTGCCTCTCTTGTCTCCTCTCCCCAGATGAAGTTCTGATGCCTCTTACTCACCGTCTCCTCTCGGGGTCTCCTAGGCCGGGCTCGGGATGGGCGGGCAGGCCCAGGTCCACTGGTGGTCCCGCTGGTGGAAGGCCCACCGCTGCCACTGGCTCCACCACTGCTGTAGCCACTTATGCCTGGCGTGGAGTAACTGGTTCCAGGCATGTCATAGGGGTCGACGGCGGGGGGCTGGGAGCCCAGGGGCTGTCCCTGGGACTGAGCCATGGAAGAGATGAGGGTGGGTTGCACGAGCCACTGGAGGTCCTGGCTGGTTGTGATCGCGGTGACCGTGGGCACGAAGGAACTGGGCATTTCCCCAAGACCGGCGCACTCCTACGGGGTGACACATACACACACAGGCGTAGACACACAAACAGAGACACCGACACACACAGACCCAGCACACATATACACACCGACCCCGTGAGTGAGCACAGGGTGAGCGGGTGTGGATGTGTGTGTCACAGGCAAAAAGCCACAACACCCACCCTTCCACTACACCGTGACGCAGTGGTTAATGAGAGGATCTCTGCTCAACTGGCTTCTACCTCCTCCTTCTTCCTCGGGGAAAGGTTGCACGGTTCCAGCGGGTGGTGAATCACACCCCGAGTTGGTGACTCTTAGGTGTGGGGGGGTGGGGAGAAGGCTGGACACAGCCGGGTGACAGAAGCCCCGGAGAGAGTCACAGCCACACACACAGCCACTACACCCCACCCCCACCCCAGAGGCAAGGGGAGGGAGAGGGAGAGGCCTTAGGCCAAGCCTTCCTCTACACTCGTGCACATACACACACCCCTCTGGATGCGAGGACGAGCTGTTGGAGGGTCCGTGAGACCCCCCCTTGCGCAGGGGCGGGGGTCCCAGCTAACAGGGTGTTGGGAGATGGGCCTAGGAGTTCAGAACAACGTTTCAAGTAATGGTCTCTCCCCAGAGTGAGGCTGACAGTGACAGGTTACGATGGACGCCCAGGTAGAAAAAAATGACAACCCGGGCTCCCTCGGACTGTCGCGGAGAGGGAAGGGCATGGGTCCCGAGCCCCCAAACCCCAGCAGCGCTCATCTCCCCAATCCCCAAACGGTAGCCTGGAACTGCTCGCCACGCTAACTACTCTCCCAGGGGGCGTGGTGAGGGACGGGCTGGCCCGCTGGCCAATCAGCGCCCTGGAAACCCAGAGGGGGCGGGGCTCCTGGAGACCACCTGGCTGCTGCTCCCAGAGTTAGCGGTTCTAGTCCTGTCTTTGGACACCTCGGAGGGCCCGGGAGTCCAGGGCAGAGGGAGATAGAGTGTGCCTGTGCCTGGAGAAGGTATGCCGGCCACCATATCTCCCGAAGAAACCCCTGCCTACCAACAGACATTCCCTGCCCCTGAGAGCGGAGGGACCGGATCCCCGGCCGGTCCTCGCAGACCCATCGTGTCGCAGAGGGTTGCTCCTGTCGCGACACGATCCCCTCGCTCCGCTGCTAGAGGCCCGTCAGAGAGACCGGGGCGCCGAGAAACCCACGGTTCCAAGGACGGAGTGGGAAGGGAACGGCACCATACAAAGAGGAAGGGAAAGTTGATTGGCTAACGCTCGCGGCGCGGCGACCAATCGGAACGCCGAGCTGCTCCCTCCCTAGCAACGTGGCCCTGCCGTTCCAAAATAGAACGCTCTCGGGACGTCAGGGGCGGGGCGGACGGAGGGGGCGCCGCGCGCCGTGCGTGCCTCGCGTCAGACGGAGGGTTCCAGCACGTCAGCCGTTACGCACGGGTCCCCCGTTACGTCTCTACGCAGGAGGCGGAGGCAGTGCAGCCGCGATTTCGGCCCACCTTCCCGCTGCATCGGGAGCGACAGCGCCCGAGTGGGCGCTCCAATGGAGGAGGTAAAGGGAGGGGGCTGCTGGACGCGTCCCCGGGATTTCCCCCACCTGCCTAACCGCGCTAGAGGGGGGACCTGGGTCGGGGACAGTCCCGGAGCCCCCTAAAAGTCCTCAGTCCTGCTGCCGCAGACCGCGCGTTTCACTAAACGGCACATTCTTCCCACTCTCAAAGCGTACCCCTCTGCGTTCCCTCCCTGCGCTTCGCTTACACGACCAACAAGTCCCGACTCTGCAGTTTGCAAAGTGCGCTGTGAATCTATGCCCTAGCAGATCCCGGGTTTTGACGCGTCTTTATTTGGGGTGGGGAGATTGCTCGTTCCACCCTTGCCTAAAAAATAAAAATGATAAAAAGAAAGAAACCTCACAAAGCAGTACCCCAACTCATTAGAACTTACCTGAGAGGCGGTGGCGGTGGGTGGGCTGCCAAAGGAGTCCACCGAAGACAGATACTGAGACTCGGCAGAGGGTGAGGAGCTGCACCTGGAGCCGGAGTCGTAGTCTCCGGGGAAAGCCTGAAACATTTCCCTGGGCACAGGGGGGGCCCTGTGACCACGCTGAGGTCGCCGGGAAGCCAAGGCTATGGCCGGGTGGGGGACGAAAGGTGCGAGTCCGGGGTGAGCCGAGCGCGTCCCCAAAGTGCGCTGTCCGGGGAACCTCGGGGTGGGGGGCAGCGTCCCGTTCCAACAACGGCAAAGTTTCGGTGCAATTCCTCTGCGGTTCTCAGGCCCCCACAAGATGCCGCTGTGCCGCCTGAAAGTCCAGGCTCCGTAGGACCCAGTGGCGTGGGGTCGTGGGGTCGGAGGGATGGCTCCCCCAGAGGCGGAACGCGCTGTCCGGCTGTACAGAATCTGCTTCAGGTGCTGTCTCCTCCACGCGTCCGGCGGGTCCCCCAAGGGAAAGGGAGTAATAAAGAGGACGGAAAAAAGTAAGTGGGTCCTCCAAAGTAAAATGTAGAATTATCCAGAAGAATCCTTCCAAAAACTTTCCGGAAGAAAAACTAATAAACAGAATTCCGCAGCCCCAACAACCACAACAATCAAGTCCCCAAGTCCCAGCTCCGCGTGTCCCAGTGGTGGCCGTAGCTCTCAGTCTTATGAATGAACCCCAAAGCCGCCAGCCTGTATTTATATGCCTGGACCCGCCTCCCTGCTTACGTCACCCGCCCCTCTTTCTGAAAACTTCCCCAGATTTCTGGCCCCGCTGTACTGAACCCCGCGCCGCCCGGCGGGAGGGTGCCCTGTCTTCCATCTGGTCACCTGCAACACCTTCGAGGCCCCGGGGGGTCTCGGGGGCTGCGCTCCAGGGCATTCGGCAGGAGGGGATCCCGGCCCCGCCTCCCGAGTTCCTGTGACGCAATTAACCATATAAGGAGCTCGGCCGGCTAGGCAGAGTGTTTGTTTGGTAACCTAGCAATTACGTCAGAGGGAATCCCTCGCTCGCTGGCCCGCACTCACGGCGCGCTTGCGGAACCCATTCGCGCCTGCGCAGGGCCGCGTCGCCCCGGGGGCTGGTATTAATAGGCTCTTAGACTATTTGGGGAAGGTCCCAGGGAAGACCCTGGCGGGGGAGACCCCTCCACTCTGGCAGCGCCTCCCAACTTTCCCCGCGGTGCAGCGCCCCCCCCCCCGCTCGAGAGGAAGGTCAGATCTCCAAAAGTAGACGCCGGCTAGGGTGCTGGAGTCCCGAGCCGGGTGGGAGGGGCTGGGGTTCTCCAGGTGAAAGTGGAGGTGGGGTGGAGTCCCGAAGTTCTGCGCAGCTTCTGCCCTGCCCTGTGAGCTTGGGAATGTTTTCCCTCTTTGAGCTTCAGCTTTAGTTTTTTCAGCTTGGACTAAGGATGTGGGTCTTGGACACCACTGGCCCCCCAGGTCCACAGTTTGGGAGGTATGCAGGTTTGGACGGGATGGGTAATGAAACAAGGTGACACGTCTCTGCTGATGGTGTTGGTAACCTCTAAGTATCCATTTATTATCCATAGACAGTAAGAATGTGTGTGTGGGAATAATAATCTATAATAATAAAAGTGTAATATGCTAATTAGACCAGACGACCTTCCGGATGAAGCCAGGGCTTCGAGGGAAGCCTGGGTCCTGGGTGCCAGAGGGAGGCCGGTGCTGGCAGCTGGGGGAACGAAGGCCTATTCTTGCACGAATTTCGTGCATCGGGCCTCTAGTAATAATAATAATAATGATTGATGTTATGTATTCAACAATAACCAAATGCCAGCTTCTATACTAAGACTTTCAATACAAGATTTGTAATCCTTAAAACAACTCTTGAGGGTTTAGGGAGGAAAATCTTCATTTGGTAAAAGAGGAAAATGATACTTGTAGGGGTTAAATAACTTTCCCAAGGTTCCACTGAAAGAGTCAAACTCAAAACTGTCAAATGCCAGAGTTCCTACCCTCTTCCTGGTTTCTGAGAGCTGCTTGGTTCAGTGAAATTCCCTGAAAAGCCCTAGGTGTTGGGATTGTTTAAGTGACAATTGCAGCAGCAGCAGCTTCCAGTCGTCCAGAGCTGTAAGCCTTGCAAATCCAGCCCTGTCTGCTCACAGTGTCCACTACGGTAACCCGGGCTCAGAGGGGTAAAGTGCTCACCTGAGGCCACCCAGTTAGGAACTGGGGTTCGATAGTCTAATCCGGATATTTTGGAGGCCACAGGCCCAACTCATAAGCACCCACTGGAAAGGGTCCCACCTGCGGCTTCACAATTCTGAGATCCTGGCACTTCCCTCCAGGTGCCAAGCCCGGGCCTGGCCCAGCCCTGGGCTCAGCGGGGGAATCACTTTAAAATTGTTGAACCCCACAGGCCCAGAGAAGGGGAGGGTCTGGCTCTGGGCCACACAGCACATCTCAGGCAGAGCAGGAGGGGGTGGTCCTGGATTCCCAGGAGAGTTTTGATTTCTGCTCAGTGGTAGGGAGCGGGAGGGAGATGTGGAAGGCTGGACGGACACTGGGGGCAATATGGGGAGGCGGATGCTGCCAGACAAAAGCCCAGCCTCAAGACTGACCTCTGCCTCATCCCCCCACGCCTCCTCTGTCGGCTGCCAGTCTGGAAGTGGGGACAGGGACTAGGAAATGACACACCAACCACCAGCAGGCCGTGACTCGGCCCCAGCATCAGACAGGGAGTGACCCTCAATCCCCTGTCCCCTCAAGGCCCCTCATCTCCTCTCCCCCGGAATAAAGGAGACACACCAATACCTCGCCTGGCTACCCAAAGACGGTTGCCCAACGTGGGTGGCCCACACAGCCACACAGCCACTGGTATCTACTCCCAGGGTCACACTGGGGCATTCAGGCATTCTCCCACAATCAGCAACACACACGGCCACACGGAAAAACAGCTTTATTACACACGCCTGTACATAGAAACACACACCATCACATGGTTACCAGCACACGTGACACACACATGACAGGTACACCTTCCCTACAGGAACTCATGGATGTTCTTCACTCAACAATAACAAGGGCTAATTCTTTTTTTAAAAAATATATTTTATTGATATTTTACAGAGAGGAAGGGAGAGGGATAGAGAGTTAGAAACATCGATGAGAGAGAAACATCCATCAGCTGCCTCCTGCACACCCCCCACCGGGGATGTGCCCACAACCAAGGTACATGCCCTTGACCGGAATTGAACCTGGGACCCTTCAGTCCACAGGCCAACGCTCTATCCACTGAGCCAAACCAGCCAGGGCCAAGGGCTAATTCTTATTTCATTCTCACCACACTCCTATGAGGTAGGAATGATCATTTTACGGGCAAAGGAACGGGAGGCCCAGAGAGCTGAAGTCACTTGCCTAGAGTCACACGGCGAATGAGTGGCGGCGCTGGGGTAAACATGAAGCATGAGAGCTTCAGAGGCTGTGATTTTAACGATCGTTGAATGAGTTATGTGTGTCAATAGAGGTGCACCCAGACGGTCACACGAATGTGGACACTGCGTGTTTGCCCCCCAAGAGGCAGACCCAGAATCTAGGCAGCCTGAGCTTACGTTCTGGCCCTACCAGTGAGTGGCCGGAGGAACTTGAGCTAGTGATGTCTGGAAGTGTTTCCTCACCTGGCAATGAGGACAAAATAGTGCCCAGATCTTGGGGCTGGTGGGAAGGTTACGTAAATATCAATAAAGCTCCCAGAACACACCTGGCACATTTATAGGGATTTGTTTTATTATCGAAACCAAACCACTGTGCCCGGCCCGAGTGGCTCGGTTGGCGGAGCGTCGTCCTGTGCACCGAAAGGTAGCTGGTTCAATCCCCCATCAGGGCCCATGCCTGGGTTGTGGGTCCAATCCCAGGTTAGGGCACTTGCAGAGGGCAGCCAATCGATGTTTCTCTGTCACACATTTTCTCTCTCACATTGATGTTTCTCTCTCTCTCTCCCGTCCTCTCACTGAGCATGTCCTCAGGTGAGGATTAAAAAAGGAAAGTTAAAAAGAAAGCCACCCTAACCTTTTCAGACATAGAGCCTCCTAGAGACGTCATGGGAAGCAGAGAAACACAATCGCATTGTAACTTTCACAGGCCCCTGGCGCTGTTACCTTAGTGGGCCTCTTCCTAAAAAAATTTTTTAAAATTATATTTCACAACTGCATTGCTATAAAGACAAATAACATTATATATTAAAGCACTTTCTGGACGTTTAGTTTTTCCTTCGGATTTTAAAAGAAATCAAACATTTGCATGGGCCCCTAGGATTGTCATGGGCCCTAGCATAGTTCCTACTGTGTGCAAGGGAAAAATTGGCATTGGACACTTTCTCTCTCTTCCTCAAACACACACACAGACATACACACCCACCCACAGAGCACGGGGTGAGCAAAGCAAGTCTTCCTCTCTGGGGCTCAATTTTGGGGGCTTCCAGGAGGAGGAGAACTTGAGTAAAGGAGAGAGGGCAGAACCCCTGGCTCTCGGTGTGGAGCAGGCAAGGAGAACCCCGAGGCTTCTGCCCCACAGGTGAGAGGTGGGGGTGACAGTGCTCAGCACAGCCTGTAAAGAGCCCTGGGCCAACTTTGCCAAAGGCAGGCCTCCGCTGTCCTTCCGCCCTTTGGCAAAATCGCTGCTACACCATTTCTCAGTTTCCCCATCCAGAGAGCAAGAAGGCTAGAGGACTGTGGGCTCTGAAACTTAATAAACATGAAGAGGAGGGACCTCTGAAAGCAAACACTTAGTCAGCTGTGCTCAGTGCTTTCACACACGCTGTCAGCGGATTCTCACCACACCTGTCCCATAAATGGGTAATTAGCCCCATGGTACCGAGAAGGAAACTGAGGCACAAGGAGATTTAAGCTCAGGAGCAGTGCTGCTCAGCTGTGAATGTGATCATGGCTCACCTGGGGATCTGGTTAAACTGCAGGTCTGGTGTAGTCTGTTGTTTCCAGCAAGCCCTGGGTGACGCCACGGCTTTGGCTCCGAGAGAAAGGCCTGTGAGCGTTTCTAAGGCCTGAGAGGAGGGAGGTTGCGAATGTCATCACTGTGACCTCAGTGAGGGTAGGACCAGTCTGATGAATAGTAACTACTGGCTCCTCACTGCTCAGCATTGAACAGTGTTACTGGCTGGCTGGGCCAGCTCCCAATGAGCAATCCTGGAAGCCTCCTGGAGGGGGTGTCGGTGGTGTGTCAGGAAAGCAGAATGGTCCACAATGGGGACTCTTAGCTTGACCTTGCCAGTACCCTGGCATTCTGCATTGAAACTCCTCACTCACCAAGGCCCACAGGCCTGGCACATCCTGGCCAGTGCTGACCACCCAGGCTCACCTCTCCCAACTCCTCCTCAGCGTTCCAGATGCCATGGTGTCTCTCCTTCGTCTCCAGGTCTTTCTGTGTGCTCTTCCCTCTACCTGGAACTCTCTTCCTTTTGCTTCCTCTGGCTCAAATGCTCTTCCTCCAGGACTCAGCTCCAATAGCCCTGCCTCCCAAAGCCCCTTGATCTTGGGAGAGAGACAGCCAGGGTGTATGTGTCAGTTCCAAGCTGGGTCAGTTCCCAGGTTCCCCTCCCAGCTCTGCCTGTCTGGGTTCATCACTGGGAACAGGTCTGTCTCCCCCACGGGGCTGAGGCTGTCCTGGTCACTGCCACGTCCCTAGCAACGTGCCGGGCACCCAGT